ATGGCTCTCTATTAATGTTCTCCTCAGTACAGAACCTCAGAACTCACCTGGATCATGTGACCACAGGTCATCAGTTTGGTGGAAGACTAAAAAAATACTACAATACCCATGAGCCTCAGCTGCTGTTGCTAGTTTAGCTCTGTGATTGGATGTTTGATATTTAAGTGCACCCTGAAAAACTGATGATTCAAGAGTTTCATGATGGGCTGATGGGAAATGTAGAGCCACTGAGGAAAGAGACAGGCGGTCTGTTTGGTTTTAGTGTTTTTTTTTTTTAATATATTATTTTGGGCTTTTTATGCCTTTATTGATAGTGCAGTAGAGAGACAGGAAGTGGGGAGGCAGGGGGGGGGGGACATGCAGCAAAGGCTGTCCGATGCGGGACCCGAACCGGGGCCGACTGCAGCGAGGACTGCAGCCTCTACACATGGGGCGCCTGCCCAGACCACCACGCCACACGACGCCCATTTTAGTGTTTTTTTATGTCAGTATTTCAGGAACTAACAGACAGCACTGGTTTCGTCTCGTCAGCTGCATTCTTCTTCTGTGTTTTTATTTTATCTCTCTGGTTTAGGAAGAGTCTCCAGCCAACAGAGGAACCGAGTCCTCCTGCAGCTGAAGCTCTGACGGGAAAATCTCTAAAATTGGGGCTACGGGGTTTACAGAATATTTTTACATCTGAACTGACTTTTTCCTCATCTGAGAACAGAAACACCTGCTCAGCAAACTGACTGACTGCTACAGCCAGTCATGGTGTTTTAACATGAATATCATGTATATGTACAACTTCAATCAGGACTAAAATACCAGAGAATACTGGACTGAACCAGAACTAAAACCCTAGAGAGTAATGGACTGAACCAGGACTAAAATACCAGAGAATACTGGACTGAACCAGGACTAAAACACTAGAGAGTAATGGACTGAACCAGGACTAAAATACCAGAGAATACTGGACTGAACGAGAACTAAAATACCAGAGAATACTGGGCTGAACCAGGACTAAAATACCAGAGAATACTGGACTGAACCAGAACTAAAACCCTAGAGAACACTGGACTGAACCCGGACTAAAATACTAGAGAATACTGGACTGAACCAGGACTAAAATACCAGAGAATACTGGACTGAACCAGGACTAAAAAACAAGAGATTATTGGCCTGAACCAGGACTAAAAAACAAGAGATTATTGGCCGGACCAGAACTAAAATACCAGAGAATACTGGGCTGAACCAGGACTAAAACACCAGAGAATACTGGGCTGAACCAGGACTAAAATACCAGAGAATACTGGGCTGAACCAGGACTAAAATACCAGAGAATACTGGACTGAACCAGGACTAAAATACCAGAGAATACTGGGCTGAACCAGGACTAAAACACTAGAGAGTAATGGACTGAACCAGAACTAAAATACCAGAGAATACTGGACTGAACCAGGACTAAAATACCAGAGAATACTGGGCTGAACCAGGACTAAAATACCAGAGAATACTGGACTGAACCAGGACTAAAACACTAGAGAGTAATGGACTGAACCAGAACTAAAATACCAGAGAATACTGGACTGAACCAGGACTAAAACCCTAGAGAGTAATGGACTGAACCAGGACTAAAATACTAGAGAATACTGGACTGAACCAGGACTAAAATACTAGAGAATACTGGACTGAACCAGGACTAAAATACTAGAGAATACTGGACTGAACCAGGACTAAAATACTAGAGAATACTGGACTGAACCAGGACTAAAATACTAGAGAATACTGGACTGAACCAGGACTAAAATACCAGAGAATACTGGACTGAACCAGAACTAAAACCCTAGAGAGTAATGGACTGAACCAGAACTAAAATACCAGAGAATACTGGACTGAACCAGGACTAAAATACCAGAGAATACTGGGCTGAACCAGGACTAAAATACCAGAGAATACTGGACTGAACCAGGACTAAAATACCAGAGAATACTGGGCTGAACCAGGACTAAAACACTAGAGAGTAATGGACTGAACCAGAACTAAAATACCAGAGAATACTGGACTGAACCAGGACTAAAATACCAGAGAATACTGGACTGAACCAGGACTAAAACCCTAGAGAGTAATGGACTGAACCAGGACTAAAACACCAGAGAATACTGGACCGAACCAGGAGTAATCCATCAGACAGTTGTTGTCCAACTCCACAGTTCATGTTTGCATGCAGCATTACATACGAACCATTTCTGTGTTAAAGGGGTCTGAAACGTTAGCAGTAGAACAATCAGACCAACAGTTTATGGAGAAGATCTAAACTCTGACTGAAAGCGAGCACACCTGAGATGTTGGTGATAATTTGTCATTGAAATCTCAGGAAATCTCTGACTGCACAGCCCCAGTGAACAGCAGGTTAAAGTTGAAGCAGGAAGTGGGTCTGTAAACTGTGTTGATGTTTACAACAGATGGTGAAGGTCATGATCAAACTTTTCTCTTCTAGATCAGCTCGTCTAACCTGTAGTCACCATGTTCCCAAATCTCAGTTTACACTCTTTTATTATAGGACTATGACTGACAAAGTCCAGCTGACTGAGCGTGACGAGCTTAGGCTGACACTGTGTCCTAACCTCCAGTCACCCTAATAAACAGTCAGACGCCACAGGCCAAAGAGGAACTGGTCTGTGTTGAAACCGAAACAGGAAGGGTTTGTCCACCACTCTGTTCATCCAGCAGCAGCATGTGTGAAGGAGGGTTTATGAAGACAGTGTGACCCACAGTTCACGTCGATACACAGACAAAGAAAATACATGAAGAAACTGAGTGAAATCTTTCTTTAAGAAACTGAAATGTGACAGTTTCTGCCATTAAAATCAAGACGATTATTCCACAGCCACAGAAACACTGGTGCAGTATGAGGACACTGCAGACAGGTGTGGCCTTTAATTCCAGAGAAAATTGAACCAAACCTGGAATAAAATACCAGAGAATATTGGACCAGGCCGAAAGTGAGTCATATTTTGATTCACAGTCTCTGACAGCTGGATGATTCACACGTCAGCAGCAGCTTGGTGATCTCTGACATATCTCACCCTCTGACTTCCTGTGTCATTCTGGGAAACCTGTAACTGGCCATCTTGACTGAACTTCCTGATTCACATCTGAGTGTGTGTGGCTGGCCTCTGTGTGATGTCATCACACTGGGACACAATTAGACAACTATGTTTTTTCTTTTCTTGCCAACATGCCCGTGATTACACAGTGCATTCCTATAATACTCCCCTGTGATGTCCCCCCCCCCCCACCCTACCCACCCATCCTCACCACCCCCACTACAGGCACTAACACCACCACCAATAACAACAACAACCACCACTGCCAGAAACAGCAGGTGGTTGGCTTAGTATCATGAATGGATCCCTAAATTGGTCAACAGGGTACAGACACAGAACTCCTGAACTAGAACCTCTGTATGAAGTGTTAACACACAAAACAACCACAGAGACACAAAACAACAAAATGAACTCAGACGTGTCTTATTCTGTCGCCTTTTATGACAACAGAATAAATTTGACTGTCATTAAGTTTACATGATGAATAAACAACAGCTAGTCTGATTTGTTGCAGCATAGAAGCAGAATGATCAAATTTAATACATGGAGATATGTTTAAGAACTGGTCAACTGTCAAATTCATTCTCCAAACAAACAGGAGCAGGGGCAAGAAATCCATAGGGTTTTCACCCCTCCATGTGCCTGTCAGTCGGGGTGCACATGAGAACATGCTGTGTTATGTTGAGCTAGCGTTAGCTTCAATGAATTGAATTGAATCAGTAGCTGAGCTCAAGGACAGAGTGAAGGAACATCACTGCATCACAGTTACTTCTTCTTCATCCTCTCATGTCGGACAGACTGGACACTACACTCACTCACTATCACCTCTTGAGGTACACAGTGGTATTACAGAAAAGGAAAGGCTGGGGCTAGCTAGTTAGCACGCTAACTTCATTAGATATCTCATTTACCAAACCAGGACTAAAAACACTGACTGATGCTGGATGTTTGTGGACAAAAAACATTGATTTTCTAAAGGAAATTATTCTGAAAAGCTGTTACCAAGTTGTGTTCATTCACCTTTATTTTGAAATAATTTTGTTACAGCTGCTTTTGAGGCTCCCACTGCCACACCCTGCCTATAACTCTATTACACTATAGATACTATAAATCCCTCATATTATACAGTTCCTGTGATATTTACTTTCCCTCAGTGTTTAGAACATTTCTGATGTTTTTACTCTTAAAGTTAATATTCAGTTAAATATTCCTATATTTTATAGTAATACTGTTATTGCTATTTAGATCTACTGCCAATAATATTCTAATTATAGATAACACTATTATGAATACTTCCTCTATAATATCTCTATGGAATTTATATGATATTCTGATATTTATTAGGACATAGAGCAGAAGATTTAGTTCTGATGTTGCTGGATTTAAATCAGGATAAATAACTAAGTTCTTCTTTATTATTCTTCTATTGATCTGACTGGATGTTCTTCACACATAATATCTCTACAGTAGAAACAGATTCTATTTAACTTTATATCATCTACTTTCTATTCAATTCTATTTGTAATGAGTTAGAAAACTTTTTTTTTTCTTTTTGCTCTGATGAAAAAGTTTACAGAAGAAGTGAGTGACACACAGACACACACACAGTGTGTGTGTGTGTGTGACAGTGGTCGCACTTTATCTCCACTTTCCTGCAGCAGCGTCAACAGACAAACAAACAGACAGGTTATTGATCCGCTGGAGAACCGATCGATCAGCTGACGGGAACTGACGCCAATAAGATCAATAACCTGCTAAAAGTTTGGACAGAGAGGAAACGCACGCGCACACACACACACACACACACACACACACACACACACACACACACACACACACACACACACACACACATATACGCTCAGCTGATCAGTGTCCGGAACTCCGGGCGAATGAAAATCAGAGACTCACCGGTCATCAGTCCTCCTCTCCGGGCACACAGCTCCAGTCAGTCCCGCTGCGTGTGTGAGTGTGTGTGAGTGTGTGTGTGTGTGTGTGTGCGTGTGTGTGTGTGCAGGAGGGACAGCGGATCTGTACCTCAGAGTGAGGCGGGCGGGCGGAGCTAATGAGGAGGAGGAAGTCCGAAAGAAGAGAGAGAGGAAGTGGTGGAGCAAGTTCGAGGAAGTTTACTGCTGTATTGTGTGTGTGTGTGTGTGTGTGTGTGTGTGTGTGTGTGTGTGTGATAGTTTGTTCTGTCCAGAGTTGAGAAACAGTAAAAAAAAAAACATTTCAAAGAACCAATCAGACACCATGTGAGCCAACGTGAAGCCCCGCCCACCGCCTGACTGATTGATAGGTGTGGTTCTAATGGGACAGTTTTAACAGACATTTTAGGAGCTTCTCCAGTTTAAAGAAGGTGTGTGTGGGGGGGGGGGGGCGTCTTCAATCTGACTTGACTTAGAAAACATCTGTATTTAGAGTTAGACAAAGATTTCACTGGTTTTGTACCTGACACACCTGGACTTCCTGTCAGCTGACCGCCGACACTTTGAAACTGGATACGACTGAACTCACAAGACGTCAGTGTGACCTCAGAACACCTGAGACTAACAACGCTAACAACGCTAACAATGCTAACAACGCGAACGATGCTAATGAGTCTAACGTCAGACTGACATTTAAGTTTGGTTGGAAATGAAAATCAGGTTGACATCAAAACCCAACGTGGGCTCGTTGACATGGTGACATTTAACAGATGTTTAGCAGGTGTTACACAGATGTTTAGCAGGTGTTGCACAGATGTTTAGCAGGTGTTGCACAGATGTTTAGCAGGTGTTGCACAGATGTTTAGCAGGTGTTGCACAGATGTTTAGCAGGTGTTGCACAGATGTTTAGCAGGTGTTGCACAGATGTTTAGCAGGTGTTGCACAGATGTTTAGCAGGTGTTGCACAGATGTTTAGCAGGTGTTGCACAGATGTTTAGCAGGTGTTGCACAGATGTTTAGCAGGTGTTGCACAGATGTTTAGCAGGTGTTGCACAGATGTTTAGCAGGTGTTACACAGATGTTTAGCAGGTGTTTAATAGATATTTAGCAGGTACTTAAGAGATGTTTAGCAGGTGTTACACAGATGTTTAGCACGTGGCACACAGATGTTTAGCACGTGTTACACAGATGTTTAGCACGTGGCACACATATGTTTAGCAGGTGTTACACAGATGTTTAGCACGTGGCACACAGATGTTTAGCAGGTGTTACACAGATGTTTAGCAGGTGATACACAGATGTTTAGCAGGTGTTACACAGATGTTTAGCACGTGGCACACAGATGTTTAGCAGGTGTTACACAGATGTTTAGCACGTGGCACACAGATGTTTAGCAGGTATTTAAGAGATGTTTAGCAGGTGTTACACAGATGTTTAGCAGGTGTTACACAGATGTTTAGCAGGTGTTTAATAGATATTTAGCAGGTACTTAAGAGATGTTTAGCAGGTGTTACACAGATGTTTAGCACGTGGCACACAGATGTTTAGCAGGTATTTAAGAGATGTTTAGCAGGTGTTACACAGATGTTTAGCAGGTGTTACACAGATGTTTAGCAGGTATTTAAGAGATGTTTAGCAGGTGTTACACAGATGTTTAGCAGGTGATACACAGATGTTTAGCACGTGGCACACAGATGTTTAGCAGGTGTTACACAGATGTTTAGCAGGTGTTTATCAGCGTCATCATTTAAAGAGTATCAGCTGCTCTGATCACATGGTTACTTTAAGTTTGATATGTGATGCTCTGGATCTGAATTTTTTTTTATTTTTTGACTGTGAATTTTCACCTGCACCTCCCGCCTCTGGCCACAGGGCGGCGTCATCACATCGCGGCATCAGACAGACGCTGCCTTCCAGTGCTGTCGGAAAGTAGACAATCAGGTGTAAATTTAAGATCAGATCTAACAAACAGAAATATAACAGGATAAAATATATAAATAAAACAAGTAAAATATATATCTGCTGGAACCAACGATTATTTCCATGATAGATTATCAATTAAAAGAGGAATGATCAGAGTACGATTTAATTCTCTGAATTCTGTTTTTTTTAGCAGGTCCGCGAACGCAGCGCAGGCGGATCTCCGGGTGGTTTTTTTCTGAGCAGCAGTTCGTTGAGTTGGAGGCACAGGGTGGAGAACTGAAGCTCAAACTTCCTCCTCATACGTCGGATCGATCAGCGCTGATCAGATCAGATCGATGGATTAGAGGATCAGCTGCTGCAGAGGTGGGTGACGACTTTAAACTATCTGTGACGTCAAACTGAGGCTGAGGCGCGTGTGTTTTTTTCTTTCTGCAGCTTTGAGGAGGGAACTTTGTTTTTCCCGCAGGGATGTTGGTGTGAACCTGAACAGCTGCGTGACCTCTGACCTCCGATCAGTCAGAGCGTTTATTGGCGGCAGATTCACTGAAGACAGAGCTGATCAGAGATTAATCAATACATGATATATGAGATTATCTCCACGTGACTTTATGTTGTTTTTATTTACGGTTCATTAACATTAAAACACATTTCTGAGTAGATTTTCTTGTTCTCCAGAGATCAACCGGGTCCGTGAACGCCTCAAAAACCTCCTTAAAGCATCATGACAGGACTTTGATGTGTCCACTTCAGGTTCAGTCTGTTTCTCTCAGTGAAGAAGCAGAAAAACAACCTGCCAGTTTCTAGAAAAGGAAAATAAACAGAATAAAACCAGCGTCAGACTGAGGCTGGAGGCGGGAACTGGCCCCGGGTCGGCCTCTCAGGGTCGGCCTCTCAGGGCCGGGGGCCAAAGAGGGAAATAAACAGCAATAAGAAACACATGGAGGAGAGAGAGAGAAAAACAAACCGACAAACAGAAATCTTCTCAGACAGGAAACAAACAGCCGCTCAGCGACGCTTCACCTCCCCGTCTCTGCTTCTACGGAAGCTGAGAAAGGACACACTCACAGAAACTTCTTTATTGTTTCTGAAGAGGTAACGACAGTGACGTGTGGGGTGGGGGCCAGGGGCTTCATCCAGACAGACACACAGTGAGCACTTTATTAGGAACACCCGTACAGCAGCTCATTAATGCAGAGATCTGCTCAGCCAATCACGTGGCAGCAGCTCAGTGCATAAAATAAGAAAAAAAACACGTCACATGATGATGATTCATAAATCTGATGAGAACAAACTGCTTTTATTTTGAAATTCTCCCTCTCTCATTCCTCAGACATGGAGCGTGTGTGTACGTGGCTGGTGTGCGTGTGCATGTTGAGTGTGTGTGTTGAGGCTCACAGCGGATTGGACAGAAGTGACCACGCCCACCTGGACCACCAACACCACCATCATCTGGTTTCCAATGGCAACGCAGCCTCAGGTAGAGAAGCCTTTTCTTTTGTGTGTCTGTGTGTCTGAGGGATACGTGGTCGCTCTCAGGTCTGGTTCTGTCAGACCATCCAGGACATGAGTCTCAGACGTCTTCAGGACTTTATTCACTTTCATGTTGCCTGAGGGACTTACCCAAAGTTCATAGCATTGCGACATTAAACACAGGGTTACCATGGTTACCGGGGGACACCCAGAAGTGTCAAAACCGGTGAACATTCACCATAAAACAGAAGAAATAATAAGATAGAAGAAGAACAGCTAACGAACAAGCGTGACAGGAGCTAACGCTAATGTATACGACAGATTCAGAGACTGTGTGATTGATGATGATGATCTGAATCGGCTTCATCAGATCTGATCCAACATGTTTTGACATGGTTACGTGACGTCACAAAGAATCGTGAATCGTTTCAATAAAACATTTAGAAATGTGAAACAATCAGATTAAATAATATAAACATGTAAATGTGAAACAGTCTTGAAGAGAGAGGGACGCTCCCCTCGATCCACACACCTGAACAGTCTGGACTGAGACTGCCCCTCCCCCCCAAAGAAAGGTATCATCATCACCTCGTGTACCTGAGTCAGGTTTCAGCCTGCAGGCAGTGAGAGTGAGAGAGGAGGGTTTTCTCCTCAGCAGGTCGATGAACTCAGACCTCGCTCTTGAGAAAGAAGCCTGTTCTTCCTGTTTGAGGTTTTCACACAGTGAACGAACCGGGACAGAGACAGTGTCTCTGCAGAGACATGTCCCACCGTCTCACACAGGTTTATAAACTCTCAATATTCTGATATGAAATGACTGTAACTGCTGTGTGCCCCATACAGACCCCCCCTGCAGAGGACCAGACCCCCACACTGAGACTCTGTCTCCCTGTGGTTGTACAGAGATCCTGATCCTGCAGAGAGACTGTGTGTGTGTGTGTGTGTGTGTGTGTGTGTGTGTGTGTGTGTGTGTGTGTGTGTGTTGCAGCAGCGCTGTGCAGAGCTGATAGTGTGGGAGATAGCCGTTAGCAGCTTGCCGCGGCTTCCTGGAGCTGACACGTTGTTGACGATGTCACAGGAAGCATGGTGACAGAAATAGACTCGTCTCAGCTTTTGTTTGGAGGAGGTTGAACCCTCGGCTCCGCCCACTCAGCCGCATCGTGGACAGGAAGCAGAGCTGACGAGTGATTGGTCCTGTGATTGGTCAGCTGGTGTTTAGGTTTAGAAGCTCCCTCTCTCTGGTTTACTGACAGATCTATAAAAGCAACTTGTCAGACTCAGACAGCGAGGTGTCAGAGGGAAACACAGTGAGACACGTATGTAGTGAAGGAAATTAACATGTATTCAGTGGCTTTCATAATAATTGGTGTATGAACACTTGAGGTCACAGTGACTTTGACCTTTGACCTCCAAATTCTAATCTGTTCATCTGTGAGTCTCAGTGAACACTGGTGCTGAATTTGAAGACATTTCCTCAAAGTGTTACAGACGTTCGACTCACTGCTGGTACCAACAAACATGGCCGACCGGCCCCTCTGCCCTGGAGGTGGTTCCGGTATGTTGGCGAACCTGGAGGTTGATGCTTGGTGCTGATGAGCTGCAGTAAACATGTTAACCTGGCTAACCAGGTTAATGTTGGTGTTGTCTTCATCACTGTGACTAACTACCCGCTTTACATTTAGACTTAACTGGTTCTGCTCCAACACTCAGCTCTCCTCTTCTTCTAGCAACTTCCAAGCTATTCAGACATGCTAGCTACTTTAGCTCAGCAGTTAGCACCCTCTCTGCTCGGAGTGTGTCGGCCCACATCAGTCTGTGGTGTTTGGAGCTTCAGTGTAGGGGGCTGTCATGTTTACCTGCTGCCACACCTTCGACACACAGCTCCGCCCCAGCATTATATAACCAATCAGATGGTGCTGTGGGCGGGGCATTGCTCCAGACCACAGAGTGGTGACAACAGACCAAGCATCAACCTCTGAGGCAGAAACATGAAGAACCAGAAGCTGCAGTTCCTCTAACGACCACTAGAGTCTGGCTCCAACAGTGAGTCAGTCCCCATAGACTCCCATGTTAAAATGTCCAACTTTACAGCAGAAATCAACATGTTTACAGCCTGGTACAGAAACTGTTTTGGTCTCTAGAGCTAATTTCCTCCTTCATGACACCTGTTTATATAACTCACCTGTTTATATAACTCACCTGTTTACGTTTAATTAAGGACTACAGTTATGGAGGATTGGGGGCGTGGAAGTCTTAGCTCCACACACGCCCCTCCTCTTTGACCATATTTGGATTAGCTGGGAGTTAGGGGGGGGAGTCAGACACTGCCAAGATGGTGACGGTGGAGCAGCTCACTCTGAGTTTCAGAAACCTGTGGGTGACATCACAGAGGTGACGGCCCTCTTTGTTTACAGTGTGTGCTACAGACAGGATGGGCGGCGGCATCAGTAGCACGTTTTTAAATAATTTTATTTCTGGTAATTGTAAAAAGCTGAATATAAAGTCTGATAGTCGGTCGACCTCTAGTCCAGGACTTCATCGAACTTTTGTTAAAACAAGGAGCTGTGTGAAGTGCATGATGGGTAGTGAAGTTTTCCCACCGTGTTGGAGTGTGTTCAGACTGAGCTGTGACTTTGACTCGACCCCCTCCTCTTTAATTCTATTATCTGTGTATTTTTGTCCTCACAGCTGCTGATGTTAATCCTCAGACTAAACTCAGACCTTTACTGAAGCTGCGTCCTCACCTGTTTCTCTCTCTCCACCTCTCTGTCTTCTTCTGTGGTGCTGTGGCCGTCACGATGGATAAGAGGGAAACCTGAGCCGCGCTTACACAGGGATCAGAGCGGCTGTGGATATGTGATGTTATAGGCTTTAATTTATGGTTCAGCGTCACATTTCACTGACAGCACTGCAACACGAGGATGAACTGTACATGTCGCTGCAGCCTCTCCACTGTCAGACATACAGTATATATAGAGACAGAGACAGAGGGAGCCGAATCAGCTGTGACCACTTCCTGTCTGCAATGCATCATGGATGTTCGGACAGTTCAGCAGGAGCGTCTGTTCTCTCTGCTTTCTAAGTGGAGCTTTATTTTGGAAGGATAGCAGAGATAATGACATCATCAGGAAGTGGAAGTCACACCGACCAATGAGACTCCAGCTGTGAGTGTGATCAGACTGTTGGAGCTGCAACACACACACACACACACACACACACACACACACACACACACACACACAGACACACACACACACAGACACACACAGACACACACAGACAGCTAGTGTTTACACTTCAGTCTGAATTATCTGACTTGTGGATCAGCTGCATCTGTGCAAAGCAACTAAACACAAGGAGGTCAAAGGTCATCTGGGGGAAAGTGGTTCTGTAAGTGTTTATTGAAGAGCACGACACTGCAGCTGAGAGTGTTTCGTCTGTATGAGAACATACACATCATATACGGCGCTGTGCAAACACTCTTCATCATCATCATCATCATCATCATCATCATTAGGAGGCGTCTGATTGGTCCAGATTCATCCTGGAGTTGGTCTGGGATCACATGAAGAACTGAGGCCAGTTCTCCAAGTCGCTGGAACCACAAGAACCTGAAGAAGCTGGTCGGCCATGTTTGTTTTTAACAGCAGTGAGTTGAACGTGATATCTCTCTCTCTCACTTTGAATCAAGGATGAACTGATTAGGATTTGGAGGTCAAAGGTCAAAGTCACTGTGACCTATGGTGGTGCTGAAAACACACTGCAACTCAAGAAAACAAACACACACACACACACATTCAGAAACATCTTCATCACTTGCTACAAATACTCACACAGGAAGTGTTTCCAGGGGACACAAAAAGTGACGCACTTGTTCAATCCTTTGTGACTTTTGAAGTTGAAAGTGTTGAACAACAAGTTCACATGAAAGTGTTTTAACAATAATCCACGTGAGTCCGTCCCAGCTCATGCAGGGGAAGGATTTATTAACAGGTGGGGGAGGGTGACCTGCAGCTCAGGCCTGCAGTTCCTGAGAAGTCTCTCTCTCTCTCACACACACACACACACACACACACACACACACACACACACACACAGCTGAGCGTTCGTTCATGCAGAAACTCTCCGATGTTCTTGAGGCTGAAATGACCAAATGTAGTCATGGAGTCTCACCCTGATCTGCTTCAAATCTGCTGCTGTTGTCATGACGACCAGATAAAGTGACCTGATGGATGATCACGGACACTAGCTGCTAGCTGCTAGGTTAGCCGAGGCTAACAGGAACTGTAGCAGATGTGGACATTCAGCAGGACAGAGACAACGAACCAGAGAGAACAGATGCTGCTGCAGAGCTTCATGGAGAGTCCTCCTGTTTCTTACAGTGAAACTCTCTGAGCGTCATGATGCTCTGCAGACATCCTGCAGCTGGAAAACTGACACAGAAACATGTGGTAATGATGAGATGAATCATCACACAAGTCCTCTAATTTGTCCCTGTGCTGTAGATCTGTGTGTGATAGACCAGCAGCTCTGTCAGGATGAGAACTCCCTGCTGAGTTTCGAGGCGATCTGCAGCATCCACAAGCTGATGGACGACGACGCCGATGGCACGGTGGACACGACCGAGACGGACGAGGTGAGACTTCCACTGAGCATCCTGCTTTCCTACACTGGCGGTAAAATTAGCTGTCTCCAGTGAAGACTCATTTGTGAATACTCATGTCTAAAATGCCCCCCCCCCCCCCCCCCCCCTCAGTTTCTCAGGGAGGACCTGAAGTATCACGACCCCAAAGCCAAACACAGTAGCTTCCATCGAGCCGACCTGCACATCAGCGTGGAGGACATGTGGAACGCCTGGAAGAGCTCTGAAGGTGAGCGGTCTGAAAGGATGCTAACAACGCTAAAGCTTCTGAAAAGATGCTAACTGTCAGTCACTGCTAGTCACAAGCTAACAAACAACATAAACAAATAAAAGATGCCAACTGCACCAACCATTTTGAAAAGATGCTAACTAGCTAACTGTTCTGCAAAGATGTTAATTGTCAGACACTGCCAGTTACAAGCTAACAAACAAAATATAAAAAAAGTAAAAGATGCTAACTATGCTAACCATTCTATAAAGATGCTAACTACGCTAACGGTTCTGACCCGTCTGCTAGTCTCTGGTTCTGGTCTCAGACTCCTCCTCTGAGTCTGGGTCTGACTGAGGCTCAAACATGTGGCTGAGTCTCTCTGATGTTTCCTCCTCTGACCATCTTGATGCTCTCTGCTCTTTCACCTGTCCACCTGGAGCCAGCAGGTGGTGGGCGGGGCTCAAGGCCTGATCCAGATTTCACAACCAGGAAGTGAGAGGAGACAAGCTTCAGACCCAGATCAAAGTTTGAATCTTGTCTGGAGGAACTTGAATGCATCACCCTGCTGTTAGTGTTGAACTCTCTCTGATTGTGTGATGCTGCCGTGTTGACACAGTGTTTGGATTCCAGATGTTTAAACCACGTCAGGATGTGGTCGTTAGCAGACAGAGACACTCAGCAGGACAAAGACTGAAGACAGTAATTATCAGAGAGGTGGGGGTGAAAGATGACGGGATTAAAATCAGTGACTGGAGCAGAACTCACTATGGAAACCATGAAGCGGAGGTTTGTGTTGGTTTAAAGCCGACAGCAGAGGAGGAGAGGGGAGGGAGGAAGATGAAGGGATGGACAGAGAAGAAAGAGAAAGAGAGGAAGGAAATGGAAAACGACAGAGAAGCAGGGGGGATTAAAAAGGAGAAACGTGTAAAAATAAAATCCTATTTTTGGATCCACTTAATTTCCCTGCTCCATTTGTCACCGTGACGACGTCAGAAAAGACAAAACTACAAACACACAAAGAGGAGGAAGTTTATTTTTACATTCACCTGAACTCAAGGATGAACTGGTTAGACTTTAGAGGTCAAAGGTCAAAAGTCAAGGTTCATACTCAAGAGTGTGTGTGTGTGTGTGTGTGTGTGTGTGAATGTGTGTGTTGTGAGGTGTGTGTGTTGTGTGCCGTGTGTCTGTTGTGGTGTTCTGTGTTGTTTCTGTGTGCAGTTCGTGTGTGTGTGTGTGTGTGTGTGTGTGCTCAGTGTATAACTGGACGGTGGAGCAGGTGGTGGACTGGCTGGTCGTCAGTGTGGAGCTTCCTCAGTACTCAGAGACCTTCAGGAGACTCCAGCTGGACGGCAGAGCCTTACCCAGGTAACACCAACACCTGTCTCACTGATGTCACGCCTGTCTCACCGATGTCACACCTGTCTCACTGATGTCACGCCTGTCTCACCGATGTCACACCTGTCTCACTGATGTCACGCCTGTCTCACTGATGTCACACCTGTCTCACTGATGTCACACCTGTCTCACTGATGTCACGCCTGTCTCACTGATGTCACGCCACACCTGTCTCACTGATGTCACGCCTGTCTCACTGATGTCACGCCTGTGTTATTGATGAATTCTTTAATTAGTAATTCATCTGAATTTAAATGTCTGTCAGACTGGATTAACCTGTCACTTCTCATCACTTCATATCCCAATGACATGACCACAGTCTCAGATCTCAGATGTCTGAATGTC